TGTCTATATATTGCTGAGTAGATTTATCACTTTTTTTTGTGGTTACCATGAAGCTTACATTAAAACAGGAAAAAAAAAAAAAAAAAAAAACACCTCACCATTCAGTTGATTCTGATTCATAGCAACCCTCATTAGGTGTCTGAGGTGCTAAATCTATATGGAAGTATATTGCCCCTTCCCTTCTGCAGAGCAGCTGGTGGGTTTGAACTGCCAATATTCTGGTTAGCAGCCAAATAAATGCCTTAGGTACTTCATCACCAGAGCTCCTTGAAGCTTACATTAATCCTCTTAAAATTAAAATAATCTGTTGTGTCTTGAAATTGTTTTGACTTCCACCTCATATGAAAGTTCTACAATTCCACCTATTTTTCCCTCTTTCTGTTTTGAAGTTGTCATTGTTTACAACTTAATTCTTCTGGATCCCTGTCACCAGTTTTTTTGGGGGGTTATTTGTTTGTCTGTTTGTTTTTACTTTTGCAAAGTCTTTATCGGGATTGTTGTCTGGGTGATATTGTCATGTGTCTTTATCTCAATTTGTTGTCTAATATATTTGGTTCTCTATCCAAAGAACTCTCTTTAATATTTCTTGTAAGGCTAGCCTTGTTTTTTTACAAGTTTCCTTAGCTTCTGCTTGTCTGGGTATATATTAGTTTCACCATCATTTTGGAAAGACTGTTTTACTGGATATATGATTTTTGGTTGGCAATTCTTTCCCTCAGGATTTTATATATGTCACTCCATTGCCTCCATGCCTGCATAGTTTCTGATGAGAAATCAGCATTTAGTCTTATTAGTGCTTGTTTGGTAAGTGATGTTTTGTTTTTCAAAACTCCTCTCAGAATTTTTTCTTTGTCTTGGAAAGTTTGATTATGTTCTGTCTTGATGATTTGGTGGGGGACAGTCTATCCTGTATGGGGTTCATTAAGCTTCTCATCTTTCATGATATTTGGGAAGTTTTCAGCCAATATATCCTCAAAAATTCTTTCTGTACTTTTCTTTTTATTTTTTTTCCTTCCTCTTCTGGAATGCCTATTACTCATAAATTATATGCCTCTTCATGGTATCTCATATAATTCTTAGGCTTTCTTCATTTTTCTTTCTTTTTTTTTTTTTTCTGATTGTTCCTCAAACAAATTATATCAAGTGATATGTCCTTTTTTTCAGTGATTCCATCTTCCACTGATTCAATTCTACTTCTATGTCCTACTGAGTTATCTATTCCTAATATTTTATTGCTAATCTTACTAATTTCTTGCTGGGTTTATTTATTTTTTGGTTTCTAATTGTCTATTTATTTTGCTTTGTTCTTGTATTATTTTCTTGAATTCTTCTATGGCTTTTTCTGTTTTTCTTGGTTTTCTCTGTATTTTCCTTTATCTCTTCAAGGATCCTATATATAAGTCTTTTGAATTCCTTATCAGGTAATTCCAGTACAGTTTCTTCTTCTGGGAGTTTTTTTCTTCTCCCCCTTTATTTTGTTCATTTGCTTACACTATCTTGTTCTGTTTCTTTATATGACTTGATACTGTCTGCTGTCTCTGAGGCATTTAGGTGTTATTTTGGTGATTGATTGATTGTATGTTTGGCTATGTTATCCTGATTTTATTTTGTTTTGATGTATTAGGGCAGATGGGTCAGGTGTGCTTCACTGATTGCTCCTCCAGTGGGATGGGAGCATTCATCTCTTGTCTGTGGGTGAGCAGTGTAGCAGCAAGCAAAACAAACCTTTGTTGCTGTAATCTGGGTGTGCAAGATGGCTGAGGGCAGGGTGGGCAGGTTTGGCCGTCATCTGTCATTGGTCTGGTAGTGTGGGACTGCTCTCCACAGTTTGCTGATTGGGCAGGGGAGCAGCATGGTGTGTGGCAGGTGGCTGGGAGTGCAGGAACACTCCCCTGGTACTTGATAGGAGGATAGAGGGCAGTACGGCAGTGAGGGAGGGCCTTGAGATGGGTGGCTAGGAGTTCAGGACCACTCCTCTGCCACTGGGCTTATTGGGGCAGCCTAGGGCAGGGGTCAGTTCAGGTGGAAAGGGGGCTAGGTAGGTTGTGAAGGGCTCAGACAAGGATTGGAGCAGGTGGCCAGGCACAGGAATACTCCTCTGCTGTTCAATGAGTTAGGGCTATAGCTAGGAGCATGGGACCACTCCTCCACCACTTGGGGATCAGGATAGGCTGGTGGGGATCAAGTTGGGTGGCTTAGAGTACAGAAATGCTCCCCCACTGCTCAGCAAGACAGGGTGAGCTCGGGCAGGGGTTGGGATGGGCCATGGGAACACTCCACCACTGCTCAGCAGGTCAGGGTGGGTTCAGGCAGGGGGCCAGGAGTGTAGTAATGCACTCTCACTGCTTGGCAGGTTGAGGCATACCTAGTCAGGTCAAGTGGCAACCTCCTGCTGACACTCTATGGGTCTATTACTCTGCATTCACCATGCTGCTACCCACTCCTACGGTCAGGGACTGCCACTGGTGAGTTGGCCTTCTCTAGCTCTTGGCTCTCTTCCTGTTCTGTGGATTCCAGGATCCCTGGAGTTCTCATCCTTCTTCCTGTACTTTCTCTTCTTAGGTCCAGTTCATATCCTGCTAATTTACTTCACTCTGAATATTTCTACACAGTTTCTCTGTCTCCTTTTGGGAATTCTATGAAGTTGCCCTCCTATGTTCCTCACCTGGGATTACTGCTGGCTTTGTCTCAAGATGGCCATGCTGTGCTGGGCTGACTAGCAGGGTGTCTCTGTTCCATATATTTCCTTGTTTGCTGTTGTTGTTGTTTTTTAATCAGTTTCTTCTTTCAATTGGTATTTGATCTAATTCTTTATCCTTTCTTATGATGCTTGTTGTTGTTGTTATGTGCCGTTAAGTCAGACCTCACTCATAGCAACCCCTCCTTGGATGTCTGAGGCAGTATCACTATGGAAGTAGATTGCCCAACCTTCCTTCCGAGGAGTGGCTAGTGGGTTTGAACCACCAGCCTTCTGGTTGTCAGTCAAGTGCCTTAGGCACTATGATGCTTAGGGTCCCAAAATTGTCATCTGTATCTATTTCACTTGATTTTTTGGGTCTGTGCTATAGTGAGATGGCATAGTGTGTCTGACTAACCTGCCATTTTGATCTCTCCTCCTTGTTCCATAGGCTTTTCAATGGCTGTGATCTATCAGAAGTAGATTGGCAGACCTTTATTCTGAGGAATGTCTGGGTGGATTCAAACTGCTAACCTTTTGGTTGGTAGCCAAGTGCTTAACTGTTTGGATCACCCAATGACTCCTTTGTGATATTACTTATGGGTTTATTATCATTATTTGCTTTTTGGTTAAGAAAACTTGTGAAGAACTCTCAGAGTTATGATGGTTCAGGTAAAAGTGAGCCCAAGGAGGGCTGTAGTGGGCAGGGTCCACTCTGTACCTGACCCTGTTTCAGTAGCCTTTCAGGACCACAACTGTCTTCAGGTAACTTGTGTTCTTTGTCTGTTTGTGTGTTTGGTGGGAGTTGTTGTTGTTGTTGTTATGTGCCGTTGAGTCGGCCCCGACTCATAGCGACCCCTCCTTGGGTTTCCGAGGCAGTATCACTACGGAAGTAGGATTGCCCAACCTTCCTTCCAAGGAGTGGCTGGTGGGTTTGAACCGCCAGCCGTCTGGTTAGCAGGCAAGTGTCTTAGCCACTATGCTACCAGAGCTCCCTTGGTGGGAGTAGTAAGACAATAAACCGGTAACATACAGATAACCACTTTTAGAAACAACATATGTAATGAAGAAAAGACAAGGTGATGTGAATGCAGCAGGCAACTTTGGCCCAGGGGGACAGGGATGTCTTGCTAAAGAAGTGGCACCTGAGCTAAGACCTGGATGACCATCAAAGGCGGCCATGCCCACTGAGACTTCATAGTCAAGGAAGACTTCCTGGAGGAAGACTGGCTGGAACTGGGAATCTTGCCCAGCCCTGTGCATACTTGATGGGCAAGAGAAGGTGATTTCTCTAGAATTTAAGGGCTCAATCGGTTTCCCCAAAGCATGGACTTTGGCAGAGAAAGGATGAGATGCCATAGCACATGGCACCAGCAGGGGAAACCTACCAGCCCACTCATGGCCCGGGTCACCAACACAGGGCTTCTCAACTCTGAGGACTTTCTGAGGCCCTTGTTCAGCAGAAGAATGCAGCAGTTCAGGACGTTTTTCTCAAACTATTTTGGGAAATGAAGAAAGAGACTATTAACTGGGGTTTTACTCCTTGTCAGAAATTTAACACACACCAACCAATTTCAATTTCACATCCTCCCATTAGGATAACCTCATCTCCCAGGTGAGGAAATGTGTCCCAAGTCCATCACTGCCTTAAAAATAAGAAATGATTTAAATGCCTAGCCCTAGGGCAAATGTTAATTAGTCCATGTAGCCACATGGTGGGATGTTATGCAGCCACTGAAGGGCGGCGCACTTTCCACCACGGGGAAAATTCCTTAGTAATAAAATTAAATTAAAGAAGCCAGCTGCAGAATTGTACATAGATAACATTATCTTAACTATGTGTTGTTGTTATGTGCTATGTGTTATTATGTTGTTATGTGTTATGATTGCCCAACCTTCCTTCAGAGGAGTGGCTGGTGGGTTTGAACCACGAGCCTCCTGGTTAGCAGTCAAGTGCCTAGGCACTATGCTACCAGAGCTCCCTCTTAACTATGTAAGCATTAGTAACAGAAAAAAGAATGATATACATGAAAATGTTAAGAGTCCTTAACATTGAGGGAGGAGTCTTTGAATAATTTCATTGTCATATTTCTGCATTTCCTAACTCTTATGATTTTAAACATATTTAGTTATTTAACTTATTTTAAACTTTGACATAGCTTACACCTCAAACTTTGTTAAAATATAATTTATATACCATAAATTTCACTATTTATAAATGACAAGTCAGTGGTTACAGTATATTTGCAGAGTTGAAGTACAGGCATTTCTTTTGTAATCCGTGGGGAGAACTACCTACATGAAAGGAATTGATAGTATTCCTCACTCTCCAGAAAGAGTTTGGGAGAGTTTTGTGGTCATAATTTTGGGGGGCTGTAAAAGTCACCCTTTCATTTTATAAAAGGGGAGAATATCTGGGATTTGTCTGTTTCTTTCTTCTGTTGATCACTCCTCCCACCCCAACCACTTTCCTCCTATCTCCTATACTATAAAGTGTTCAATGTTGTAGATCAACTGGCTTTTGAGGAGTGGAGTGAGGGTAGACCAAGCATGACACCAAGTGCCTTGTCTGAAACAAACAGCAGGCCTCACTGAATGGTAGTTTTCTCCCTGTTATCACCACTTCTATTCTATCCTTGGTGTCCAGGCCCAGGGAGACTAAAGGGAAACTTCAATCAGTTATGTAGGACATTTTTCAGAAATTTTTTGTTGTCTTTTTGGTGAGAAGGAAAGTTGGAGGTTTCTAATGAGGTAAATCCTGTCTCTTCCCTCTGTACCTTGGGTGTGGTATCCCAGGCTGTCAAGCCCTGCTTCTTCCTGAATCCTTGTTTCCTCCAGGCTGTGCTGAGACAGTCATCCTCCCATAGTCAGCAGAGGCTGAAGACCACAGACTTCCAAATTATCTCCCTCAAGTTTTAGAACCTCTTTGTCATACCAACATTCCAATTGCAATGGTGCTCCCTTGTGAATAATTGTTAAATTATTCCTGCCTTAACCTCCTCCCTCATCCACCATTTCCCGCCTCCCAAATCATTATTGTCCACTCTATTCTGACTCCTAGCGACCCTATAAAACAGAGTAGAACTGTCTCATAGGGTTTCCCAGGCTGTAAACTTTATGGAAGCAAACTGCTGTATCTTTCTCCCATAGAGCAGCTGATGGGTTCAAACCACCAACCTTTCGGTTTGCAGCTACCAGCGCTCCTTTTGTGGCGAGCAGAAAAGGATGGAAAAGGCCCTCAGCACAGCCTGCAGAGCGGGCTTCTGACTCTGATGACATCACCTGTCTGTATAGTCTGGGGAGGTCACAACTTCTCTGGGCAAGCTTCCCACGTGTGCAGCTGGGATTTGACTGGAGGCTCACAAAGGCCCCTTGTCAATGCTTGCTGTTTCTTCTTGACATAGGAAACAGTTAAACTTCTTCCTCCACAACTTTTACTGCCTACTACTTAACAAAAAAGGTGGTCCACCAAGTGGGGCCTGACCCAACCAGAAGAGGACAAATCCATTACCTGACCAAAATTCCAGGGTTTTTCTTGGATTGAATCAATGATGCCCATGTAATGGTAGCCTGTGTCATTGAGAACATACTCCACTCGCTCCTCCTCATTGGGCATAAAGACTGTGTCATCTGAAGCAAGACCACACATATACATGGGGTTATCATCCACTTCCTGGGACAGCTGCAGGCCTCCTAGAGGGAACTTCCTGGTCTGGAGAGTCTGTAAAACCTTCTGAGGGGTTTGGAGCAGCAAATGTTGGGAGGTGGGAGATGGAGAGGGAAGAGTGGGTTAAGGTAGGCATCAAAAAGAGTATCCTGAACCAGCTACAAGGGGCAAGGGTTTCCACTGGGCAAATCTGGAATAAGCAAAAATATAATTAAGAGCAGGAATGAGTCACAAATGAGAGTCCATGAGTCCATACAGATAATAGATGGATGGCAGGGTGGGTGGGTAGATGGCCAGATGGATGGCTGGATGGACAGATGGATGGATGGCAGAGAAGGAGGACTTTGCTTACAGGAGAATGCCAAGGGCTGGCAGGTAAATGTGGAGGGAGAGCTGGTTGGAAAATCACTGTGCAAACATCATAATGAAAACTAGTTCAGGCAAAAGTTGTCAATGCAAAGTATATGTGAACTGCTGTATGGAAAGTGAATTTGCTCTGTAAATCTTCACCCAAATCACAATAAAAAAAAAAAAAAAGTTGTCAATGAATGCTAACTCTAAGGGTGGGAAATTTTGATGAGAAGCAGGATATTTACATGGCTTATCTCCACATGACTACTCATTAGGTGCCAATGAAACAGATAGTAATGATATAGCAGAAAAACAGGACAACTTCTTTACCAGGTAATCAAAATCAACATCACCAACAAGGGGCAGGTGGACATCATGAGCTTCTAGATGTGATACCTTGAGAAGGACGCAATATCACTTAAATAATACTGTGGTGGTTGGGGTTGTGTGTCAACTTGGCTAGGCCTGATTGAGTGTCTGGGCAGCTGGATGTAGTTATTCCTCATGGTGAGACTGGCAATCAATCCCATGGCAGAATCCACTGGAACATCTGAGTAGCTGCTTTAGAGATATGGGCTGCTTCCAGTATCTAAGAAGCAGCTTTGAGGAAGGTCTCTAGCTTGATGGCACTCTTGAACCCTGCATGTAGCTGAGTCGTTGTTCAGCAGCCTGCTATATTGCCCTACCAATTTTGGGACTTTTAATGGACTTTAATTAATGGCCTGCCGTGTGGTTTGGTAGTATCGGGACTGTGCCTTTTCTCTTGTTGTCCTTGGGTTTGTTAGCCTCAGGAGCTAGCAGCTGAGTAGCTGCCAGAGCGAAGAAAAGCCTCCAGCTTCAGTGGGCTGGGAGCAGGAGGCAGAGCTGAACCCCAAGGTCGAGGGGCTTTCACCCAGCCCCTAGATCTTGGCATTTTGAACTCGGACTTAAAGCCTCCAACTCTAAGAGAATAAACTCCTGTCTGTTCAAGCCATCCCACTTGTGGTATACTCCTGTCAGAGCAGCACTAAGTAACCAAAACAAATATTCCAGCCAAGAATGCATAACCTGAATATAAAGATGAAGAAACAGCAGATAAACCTGAAATGAGGACTGTTCTACTAAAAAGCAGGAGGGAGGGCATTCTATTCCTCAAAAATGTGGATGTTAAAAAGCACTAATACTGGGCCTGCAGGCTTGGGACCACGGTCAAGGGGGACATCAAGATCAATTGGCACAAAAAAAGGAAATAAAGAGACCTGAAAGAGCTCTGGTGGTACAGTGGTTAAGCACTTGGCTGCCAACCAAATTGCTGGCAGTTCAAACCCACTAGCTGCTCTGTCAGAGAAAGATGTACAGTCTGTTTCCATAAAGATTTCAGCCTTGGAAACCCTATGGCTCAGTTCTACTCTGCCTATAGGGTCGCGACGAGTCAGAACTGTTGGGTTTGTTTTTTTTTAAAGAGACCTGACAATGGAATGTGGTATATGACCTCCTGTACTGGAGGGAAACAATTCCATCAAGAAATTGGGTTAATGGCCAGACTGGCATACAGATGGTATATTAAATTCTAGTTCCAAGGTTAAATTTACTGAAATTGATTAACTATACTGTGGAATACATATTAAAGTAAAGAGCTTTGAGGTAGATAACTAGTTGTGGTGGAATCAAGTGTGATTCACAGAGACCCCATGTGTGTCAGTAGAACTGTGCCTCACAGGGTTTTCAATGGCTGATTTTTTTTTTTTTTTTTTTGGAACCAGACCACCAGGACTTTCTTCTGCAGCACCTCTGGGTGGAACTGAACTCCCAACTTTTCAGTTAGTAGCTAAGTGTGTGTTAATCATTTGTACCAACCAGGAACTGCATTATGCATACTCAAATGGTTTTAAAAAAAAAAAAAGTAGGTGGGAGGAAGAAAGAGAGAAAGAACAAATGATGACGCAAAACCCAAATAACCCAAACCCACTGCCATCAGTTGATTATGACTCATAGCAACCCTACAGGACAAAGTAGAACTGCCCCATTACGGTTTCCAAAGCTGTAAATCTTTACAGATGCACACTGCCTCAATGTCCTCCTGCATGATGAAACAAGTGGGGCAAAATATCAACAACTGGTGAATCTAGATAAAGGGCTGTTGTTGTTGTTGTTGTTGCTGTTATGTGCCGTCGAGTCGGACCCGACTCATAGCGACCCCTCCTTAGGTTCCCAAGGCAGTATCACTATGGAAGTAGATTGCCCCATCTTCCTTCCAAGGAGTGGCTGGTGGGTTTGAACCGCCAGCCTTCCGGTTAGCAGTCAAGTGCCTTAGCCACTGTGCTACCAGATGGGTATTTATTCTACCATTTTTGCAACTTTTCTGTATCTTTCCAAACACAAAGAACTTTAAAAGAGAGAGAGAGAGCTCCCTGGTTGCTAGCTTGGGCAGCAGGTGGTTTTTAACTCTAAGAACAAGTTGCCTTTGAGGTTGCAGCAAGACATCAACACCCTGGGGAAGAGGCTGGTGCTGGCGATGGATGTGATGTCTGCAGAAAAGCTCCAGTGTAGCCACAGGAAGGACTAAGGTGGGCAGATGAGAGAGTGAAGAAAAGAGAAGAAACCTAAAGGAGCAGACAGTTTTCAGAGGGAAGGGACCAGCAGTCACGATTTTGGCTCTGTCCCAACCCTGCCCCTGGAGTAGACAAGTGAGAAGTTCTTCGTGACTCCCTCCACACCTCACTTCTGCAGAGTGGTGGTGCAGAAGCTAGCTAGGGTGGGGTGAGGCAGTTGGGGAAAAGTGGCAACAGCTCAGCTGTGAAGAGGATGCTTCAAAATTGTCCATTATCTGTTCCTAGCTCATGTGCCCTGAACCAGTGTGAAAATATCTTGAGAGCAAGCATGGCTCTTACAAGATGCAGAGCACATAGCTATGAGGGTGGGTACCAGGGACTGCTAATCTCCTCAGTGAGTCTTACCAGGGGCACCCAACGGATTCTGTCATTGGAACTTCGTTTCATGTTACCTTTACACCATGGGTTGAAGAGCAAGTAAAAGTCGTTTTTTTCAGGCTTGAAGACATTGTTTCCACTTCTCACATACAGGAAATACTTGCCCACAATGGCATCAGGGGGGCTGCTGACAGCCACTACGACCTGGGCCAAGCACAAAACACATGACATGGTAACAACTGTACCAACATCCCCCTTTGGCCTGACCCTGAATCCTACAAATGCATCCCAGAAAAATCTATCGATACTGACAAATCACCCCTCCTGGAACCAGTCGTAGTCACTCAGAGACCAGGTGTGGTCAGGGCCCCAGATAGTCAGTAGCACCTGGGATGGGTAGGCACATGAGATAGGAAAGCAGCCAGGCAAAGCAAGGGGCTTCCACAAGTCCAGTCAGTGACTCTAGACAGACTTGGGTTCAAAGCTTGGCAGGTATCTTAACATCCCTGAGCTTTACTTCGTTGGCTACAGCCTGGAGACAGCCATCTCTAGGTTGTGAGGAAGATTCCATAGTTAATGTGTAGGTAAAATGGCTGGCCCAGCACATGGCCCTTCAGGGGATAGGTTAAATGTCAGTTATCTTTTGGAGCAAAAAAAAAAATAACCCTTGTCTATTCTGAGAACACAAGCAGCCCAAGCCCTAGAGGGGCCTTGGTCCAAGGGTACCCATACTTTTATTCAGCCTTTTAGAGCTGCTGCAGCCACAACTGCATCATAATAATAATTCTCATCACTGTCACAAAACACTCCTGTCTGTGACACAGAGTCCTCCCAAAACCTGTGAGTTGCTTGTTATCACAAAATATCTTATGCGCATTGCTTATTCCCTCCAGTGAACATGGTTCCCTTTTAAAATGGAACAGGGAAGGGGTGCATTGTGGGAGGTCTGGCCACAGTCAGAGCTACTATGAGGCTTGAGGAGGGTGTGGGGAAGACAGAGATATTTGGAAACATGATAGCTACTATTCTATTCCAGGGGATGGTTTCAAGTACTGTGACTGATCAGAAGCCTACAGACTTCCCTGAGTTGTGAATACTGCTTGGACCAGAAGTAGAGGTGTCACTGTGGGTTGGGGACCAAGGTGGGTGGGTACCTCCTCAAAAGCAGATGGCCAACTAGCCACTAGGTGACCCAAGTATTGAAGACATCAAGGGAATGGGCTCAACAAGGCTGAGGAAGGGGATGGGACTCTGCTAGGAGCCACCTGGCACTCTGCCCCCAGCTGATGGGCCTCTCACCTCTATGCCAAGCTCCTTGTATACGGACACCTGCCAGGGGTCGTTGTTCCTGGAGTTTCTGGAGTTGAGCGACACCAAAATGGTATTGGCAACACTTGGCACTTGTCCTGGAAAAACCCAAAAGGAACATCTCTTCCTCCCTTCAAGCCCTCAGGCCTCCCTCTATCTTAAACACCGTTTTAAGCTACATGAGCCACCTCTGTTCCTCCTCTCTCGTGCCCTCCCTGATCACCTGAGGAGTCCATGCTTCCCCTCCTGCCTCTGCCTATGAGATGCCTTACCTGTGCCCTCCTCACACACGTCCCTGTCTGCTTTGTTACGACTTGTCAAACCCTAGAAGACCCATGCCTCATGTGGATGCATTGTTCACTAGCTGTGTGACCCAGAGCAATCTGCCTTACTTCTGTTTCTCTCTTCTGGAAGAGGTGGCCACCACCAACTTTCCAAGCCATCAGGAGGACCTTTCTTAAAACATTGGTCAGATTATGTCATTTCTATGATGAAGGTCCTCTAGGGACTCCCCATTTCTTTTGGAATCTAATCAGCCCCCTTCTGTAGCCTACAGGTGGCCCACACTTGCTTCTCCAGCTCCCCCACCCTCCCCAACATGTCTAGATTTTTATCCTCAGAGAATTGGTTCATGGCAATGCTGTGTGGCCACGTGTACTGCCCCCTCGGGGCCCTGGCACCTGCTGTGCCCTGCTGGGAATGCCAGCTCTCTGGCTTCTGCACAGGACAAAATCTCAGCAGAGAGGTCACCTCCCCCTACTCTCTTGCATGAAGGCTTTCTTGTTTGGGTTTCTTCATTGCATTTCACCTGGTCTGAAATTACCTTGTTCTCTTGTTTGTCTGTGGTCTGTCTCTCTCTACTGGAACAGTCAATTCCAGGATGCCTGTTGTTGTGGGCCACAGACTCATAGTGACCCTGTACAACACAGTAGAACTGCCCCATAAGGTTTCCAAGGTTGTAATCTTTATGGAAGCAGACTGCCACATCTTTTTCCCACAGAGCTCCTGGTGGGTTTGAACCACCACCACTTTGGTTAGCAGCCAAGCAGTGAACCACTGTGCTCCTCTCCAGAAGGGCAGGGATCTGCTTTTTCTCTGGGTGAAGACTGGTGTGTAATAGGTCCTCACTACTAAGGAGTGAGTGAATGAACAAACAAATGATACAAGGTTGTAGATGCAGAGTGCTCAGTGCAGTGCCCAGCACGTGAAGAACTAAGTGGAAGCATGTGGGCCCAGGGGTAGTATGAAACCCCTGCAGCCAGAGACAGTGAGGTCCTGGTCCGCAGGCTAAGCACAAAGCCCAAAGTAGGCAGCTATTTGACCTTGGCTGGTGGGAATGGAGGCTGTTCCAATGACCACAGCCACCTGCACATTTCTGGAAGCCTTACTCATGTTCTTCCCCAGGAGACAGAGAGAGAAGAACTGCTTTCTGGGAAGTGGTCTCACGTGTCCTCTTGTAAAGTTGATCTATTTAAAAAACTTAAAAACAACACTAAAGAAGCAAGACAACCCCTCCACACACACACACACACCATTATCCCATCACCTGTCACAAGATCTAAAACATTTTCTCTCTAATTGCACTTATTATATATATATATATATTTACCTAATTGCAACACTGGAGAAACCATTTCCTAGTATCTTTGCATTCAAGGTGTGCTATTTTTAATCATTATTACTGGCTTGCTTCCAGCCCACACAGCTATGGTGTCAGCAAACTTCAGTCCTGTGACTCATCTCTAGAAAATGTTCCAGACCCCCTAGAGCAGCTACTTCACTGAGTCACCTCCTTTCTCTACTTTTCCCAGTGCCCAGCTGTCTCCACTGCTAAGCCAAGAGATGAGGGCTTCCCATTCCATCTTCAGTGCACCCTGTAAAGTAGGATTGTTATTCCCACTTCATAGAGGGGCAGATTGAAGATCAGGAAGGCAAAGGCACTCCTGGGTGGGAACCTACATCATCCAGTCCCTACGCCCTGTGAGTAGGGCCCTGAGGCTGTCACCTGTGTTGAACTGCAGGTCCAGGTTGTCCTGGGGTTGCAGGGACCGGTTAAATAGCAGCCGCAGGTAAAACACCTGTCCTCTCCGGACCACAAGCTTGTTTATCATGAAATCCGATGTGTGGTGAGAAAGAGCATTCTGATGTTTCAGGAAGTCAATGTGGAGAACCCGCAAATCTGTCAGCAACACAGCAGGTTGGGGAAAAAGAGAAAGAGAATGAGAATGCCTCAACTGTCTCTTTCTAGGTTCATGTTCTGACGGTGCAGTGAGGGGAGCCAGACTTTGGAGTCAGGTGGAGTTGAGATTCCATCCTGCTTCACTTCTCCCTGGCTGCGGCCTCTCTGTGAGACTGTGGGCCTGGCTGTAAGGCTCAGTTTTCTCAGCTGTAAGATGGCAGTGTGCATGAGGATGAACTGAGATGAATTTTGGGTGCTCGACCCAGGTCTATACTCAGCAGCTTCTCGATGCCTGTTATGTGGGGCCCCACATTTATGCCCCACCAACCCTGCAGACATGGCCAAAGGAATGGCAGGGCCATCCTTGGAGACAAGGCCATACCCAGAGCAATGCCATACCCAGGGTCCAGTTGCCCTCAAGTCTACTCTAACTTATGGCAATGTCGTGTGTGTCAGAGTATAACCAGTCAAGTGCGGTTCTTAGTTACCTGTTGCAAGAAGAGCCAATTACTCGACAACAGGATGAGGTGAAAAATAAGAGCGTTTTATTGAGTATCAATATCCAAGGAGACAGGGGGCCTGTGTCTGCTAAAGACTGTCTCCCCCAGCTGAGAAAGGTTAGGTTTTTAAAGAAAATTGGGCTGAGGGGTAGGGGGTTGTTGAGGAATTCTGATAATCCTTTCTTCTTGTTATTGGGATTAGTCGTCTTTGCCTTCTGATCTTGCTGTCATTTTTCTGGTCAGTGATATAAACCAGCCTTGGTCAGTAGAATTGTTCTGCCCGGAAAGATTACAAAGAGAGAAGAATGTGGGAGTGGGTGTGCTCAGGCGGGGAGGGAAAGAAAAAACATTAAGAGCTTGGTTAAGATGGCTGTTCCCTTAGACTATTTTCCCCTCTGGGGGCTATAAGAAGAGCAGAACTGCACTCCACGGGGTTTCCAATGGATGATTTTTCAGAAGCACATCTCCAGGCCTCTCCAAAACACCTCTGGTTGGACTCAAACCATCAACTTTCAGGTTAGCAGCCAAGCTTGATAACCATTTGCACCACTCAGGGATTCCACACTCAGCAACTAAACCAAAGCAATAGCAGGGCCATCCTTGCAGACAAGGCCATACCCATAGAAAGAGTAGACCCAACAGAGCTGTTGGAGAGAGGGGAGCATGCAAACTGGGGTGGACAGACGCCTCTTAATTGCTGCTCCCACTCCCCATTCCCAGCCCCGACTCTGGCCTGCTGTGAACCAGATGGCATCTCATCACATTCCAAGAGAAAGATAGGGATACAATGAGGGATGAGGTTATGCCCCCTTCAAATAGAGTAGGGGGCATGAAAGAGCTCTCATCATTCAAGTCCAAGGCCACTCATAAATGGAACTCTTTCCTTGACATTAAAGTGAAGAGTACATTAGCTAGAAGATGGAGGACCAGGTAGATAAGCGACACAGACCCTCTTCAACAAAGAAAAGAAAAACAATTGACAGATACAGAAGATAATCCTGGAGCCTTGGTCTTTGAAAGGAACTATACAGAAGTAGATTAGGCACTGACTAGTGGAAAAACGAAAACAGTAAGTACAGAGACAGTCCGAGCTACAGACTGTCAGCTACTCTGATGGGACCAACAGCCTGAATATTTCCAAGTGGTGTGTTGAGACCTGAGAACTGATCTAAAGATCAGCCCAGTTCACCAAGTGCTGCAGGGATGACTGCACTGGTGGCCTAGGACTAGGAAGGGAAACAGCAGGAAAATAACCTGAGCTGTTGACTTTCTGCTGTCTGGAGGGCACAGCCATTTTGATTGTTTACATGCAGCAGCCATTTTGGATGTTTAAAGTGACCGAGGACACAGCTATTTTGAATCTTTACAAGTGGCAACCATTTTGGATTTTAAAATGACAGCATTCTCATTTGGATTCCAGGGACCTAAGAATAGGGTCTGTTTGCCAAGGTCAGCAGGGACATACGAGACGGGGGTGGTGAGTGTATAAGTGCTGGGAACTAGGGAATAGAGGAGCACAGCACAATACCCTGCTTGCATAGATAACATACAAAGAAAACTAAAATAGTGAACGAGTCACTCCGACATATAATTGCCAATTAAATATAAACACAAAAACGTCACAATGCCTCAGAGACAACAGAGCATCACAGTCCACACAAAGAAGCAAGATAAAGCAGGAGAAACAGGAGACCAGGATACAGACCCAAAACACATCTCTGGGGAAGACGCAGCATTGGAACTCCCTGACAAGGAATTCAAAAGAATTATATTTAGGTAACTTCAGTGAATTGAGAGAGATCAAGGAAAACACTGACAAAATCAAGGAAAACACAGAGAAAACCCTAGAACAATTTCAAAAGACAATACAAGAACAAAATGACAAAATAAATGAAAAACTAGAAATGATACAAAATCTACACACAGAAATCCAGAAGATTCATATTAAATTTTCAGAAATAGATAAGACATTGAATGGGCAAAGGGGCAGAATTGAATCAATGGAAGACAGAATTAGAGAGATTGAAGGCAAATACCTGAACACTTCTTTAGAAAGGGATAAACCAGAAAAAAGACCAAAACAAAATGAAGAAAGCCTAAGGTTCATGTAGGATAACATCAAAAGGAATAACCTATGTGTGATCAGAATTCCAGAACAGGAAGAGACAAATAAAACCACTGAGAAAATTGTCAAAGATTTGTTGGAAGAGAATTTTCCTGGTATGATGAAAGATGAGAATATATCCATTCAGGAAGTCTAGTGAACGCCAAACAGGATAGACCCCAAAAGAAAATCACCAAGACATATCATCATCAAACTCACCAAAACCAAAGACAAAGAAAAAATCATGAAAGCAGCACGGAAAAACAAAAAGTGACCTACAAGAGGCAACCAAAATAAGACTAAGCTCAGATTTCTCGGCAGAAACCATGCAGGTGAGAAGACAATGGGATGGTATATATAAAACCCTGAAAGAGAAAAATTTCCAACCAAGAATTATGTACCCAGCAAAACTGTCCCTCAAATATGATAGTGAAATTAGGACATTTCCAGTTAAGCAGAAATTAAGGGAGTTTTGAAAACTAGACCAAACTTACATGAGATGCTAAAGGAAGCCCTTTGGACAGAGAAGCAACAACAGCCAATAACAACTGACCATTAACACACATGATGATATAACCCAGAAACCAACCTAGCTATGGAAGTATCCAAAGTAAATAAGCCTACAAGATTGTAAGCAGTGAACCAGTGACATCAATTGACAAATGAGGACAACTACAAACCAAAAAGAGGGAATAGACTGTGTCCACAGAACTTCTAGATGGCAGGGAAGTCAGACACTACAAGATAGAACTGACTGTTTTAAACTTGGGAAGAAAACTATAAATCACAGGGTAACCTCAAAGAAAAATGATAAACCTTCACATCAAAATAAAAAAGAGGACCAGCACAAATATTTAGCAAATGCTAAAACAATAGCAACAAATGAAGTGATAACATGATTTATAAACAAAATGAGCTCAGTATAGAAAATTATATGGAACAAAGCAATCGACACCATGAAAAAGCCCATAACAAAAATGACAGCAACCAATTAATATTTGCCAATAATTACATATCTGGCAAGGGACTTATCTCTACGATTTATAAAAAACTCCAAATCCTCAACACCAAAGGAATTAATCCAATTGAAAAATGGGCAGAAGACATGAATAGACACTTCACCAAGGAGGATATTCAGGTGGCCAGCTAATACATGAAGAGATGCTCACAATCATTGGCCATCAGAGAGATGCAAATCAAAACAACGAGATACCATCTCACCCAGAACTGATGGCAAGGTTCAACGAGACAGAAAATAACAAATTCTGGCAGGGATGTGAAGAGATTGGGGACTCTCATACACTGCTGGTGGGACCGTGAAGTGATACACCCACTGTGGAAAGCAATATGGTGATTCCTTATTGCTAGAAAGCTGGCATTGGAGATACCATTTGACCCAGCAATTCCATTACTATATATCCCAGAGAGGTGAGAGCCAGGACAGGAACAGACATATGCACACTCATGTTCATCACAGCACTATTTACAATAGCATAAAGATGGAAACAACCTACATGCCCATCAGCAGAAGAGCGGATGACCAAACTATGGTACATACACATAATGGAATGCTATACAGCACTAATGAATAATGTAGAGTCTGCAAAACACCGCATAATATGGATGAACTTGGAGGACATTACGCTGAGTGACATAAGTCAATCACAGAAGAAATATAGTATTAGTTCATTGTTGCGGAGGGTCAAGGAAAGGTCTGTATATGGAGGGAAATTTTCTTTGTTAGTTGCCAGGGGTGGGAGGGGAGGGGAGGGAACACTGCAAAAAAAAAAAAAAA